CAGTAAGGCATGAAAAGTCATAGTATAGTAAGGCATAAAAAGTCATAAAAATGTCATAGTACAGTAAAGCATAAAAATTCATAGTATTGTAAGGCATAAAAATTCATAGTATAGTAAGGTATAAAAAGTCATCATAATGTAAGGCATAAAAAGTCATAAAAACGTCATAGTATAGTAAGGCATAAAAAGTCATAAATAGATCATAGTATAGTGAAGCATAAGAAGTCACAGTATTGTAAGGCATAAAAAGTCATAAAAACGACATAGTATTGTCAAGCATAAAAAGTCATAGTATAGTAAGGCATGAAAAGTCATAGTATAGTAAGGCATAAAAAGTCATAAAAACGTCATAGTATAGTAAGGCATAAAAAGTCATAAAAACGACATAGTATTGTCAGGCATAAAAAGTCATAGTAAAGTAAGGCATAAAAAGTCATAGTATAGTAAGGCATAAAAAGTTATAAATAGGTCATAGTATAGTAAAGCATAAAAAGTCATAGTATAGTAAGGCATAAAAAGTCATAAAAACGACATAGTATAGTAAGGCATAAAAAGTCATAAATAGGTCATAGTATAGTAAGGCATGAAAAGTCATAGTATAGTAAGGTATAAAAAGTCATCGTAATGTAAGGTATAAAAAGTCATAAAACGACATAGTATAGTAAGGCATAAAAAGTCATAAAAGTGTCATAGTATAGTAAGGCATAAAAAGTCATAAAAAGTCATAGTATAGTAAGGCATAAAAAGTCATAAAAACGACATACTATAGTAAGGCATAAAAAGTCATAAAAAAGTCATAGTACAGTAAGGCATGAAAAGTCATAGTATAGTAAGGCATAAAAAGTCATAAAAATGTCATAGTACAGTAAAGCATAAAAATTCATAGTATTGTAAGGCATAAAAATTCATAGTATAGTAAGGTATAAAAAGTCATCATAATGTAAGGCATAAAAAGTCATAAAAACGTCATAGTATAGTAAGGCATAAAAAGTCATAAATAGATCATAGTATAGTGAAGCATAAGAAGTCACAGTATTGTAAGGCATAAAAAGTCATAAAAACGACATAGTATTGTCAAGCATAAAAAGTCATAGTATAGTAAGGCATGAAAAGTCATAGTATAGTAAGGCATAAAAAGTCATAAAAACGTCATAGTATAGTAAGGCATAAAAAGTCATAAAAACGACATAGTATTGTCAGGCATAAAAAGTCATAGTAAAGTAAGGCATAAAAAGTCATAGTATAGTAAGGCATAAAAAGTTATAAATAGGTCATAGTATAGTAAAGCATAAAAAGTCATAGTATAGTAAGGCATAAAAAGTCATAAAAACGACATAGTATAGTAAGGCATAAAAAGTCATAAATAGGTCATAGTATAGTAAGGCATGAAAAGTCATAGTATAGTAAGGTATAAAAAGTCATCGTAATGTAAGGTATAAAAAGTCATAAAACGACATAGTATAGTAAGGCATAAAAAGTCATAAAAGTGTCATAGTATAGTAAGGCATAAAAAGTCATAAAAAGTCATAGTATAGTAAGGCATAAAAAGTCATAAAAACGACATACTATAGTAAGGCATAAAAAGTCATAAAAAAGTCATAGTACAGTAAGGCATGAAAAGTCATAGTATAGTAAGGCATAAAAAGTCATAAAAATGTCATAGTACAGTAAAGCATAAAAATTCATAGTATTGTAAGGCATAAAAATTCATAGTATAGTAAGGTATAAAAAGTCATCATAATGTAAGGCATAAAAAGTCATAAAAACGTCATAGTATAGTAAGGCATAAAAAGTCATAAATAGATCATAGTATAGTGAAGCATAAGAAGTCACAGTATTGTAAGGCATAAAAAGTCATAAAAACGACATAGTATTGTCAAGCATAAAAAGTCATAGTATAGTAAGGCATGAAAAGTCATAGTATAGTAAGGCATAAAAAGTCATAAAAACGTCATAGTATAGTAAGGCATAAAAAGTCATAAAAACGACATAGTATTGTCAGGCATAAAAAGTCATAGTAAAGTAAGGCATAAAAAGTCATAGTATAGTAAGGCATAAAAAGTTATAAATAGGTCATAGTATAGTAAAGCATAAAAAGTCATAGTATAGTAAGGCATAAAAAGTCATAAAAACGACATAGTATAGTAAGGCATAAAAAGTCATAAATAGGTCATAGTATAGTAAGGCATGAAAAGTCATAGTATAGTAAGGTATAAAAAGTCATCGTAATGTAAGGTATAAAAAGTCATAAAACGACATAGTATAGTAAGGCATAAAAAGTCATAAAAGTGTCATAGTATAGTAAGGCATAAAAAGTCATAAAAAGTCATAGTATAGTAAGGCATAAAAAGTCATAAAAACGACATACTATAGTAAGGCATAAAAAGTCATAAAAAAGTCATAGTACAGTAAGGCATGAAAAGTCATAGTATAGTAAGGCATAAAAAGTCATAAAAATGTCATAGTACAGTAAAGCATAAAAATTCATAGTATTGTAAGGCATAAAAATTCATAGTATAGTAAGGTATAAAAAGTCATCATAATGTAAGGCATAAAAAGTCATAAAAACGTCATAGTATAGTAAGGCATAAAAAGTCATAAATAGATCATAGTATAGTGAAGCATAAGAAGTCACAGTATTGTAAGGCATAAAAAGTCATAAAAACGACATAGTATTGTCAAGCATAAAAAGTCATAGTATAGTAAGGCATGAAAAGTCATAGTATAGTAAGGCATAAAAAGTCATAAAAACGTCATAGTATAGTAAGGCATAAAAAGTCATAAAAACGTCATAGTACAGTAAAGCATAAAAATTCATAGTATAGTAACGCATATATATATATATATATATATATATGACATATTTGTCCCTCTATAATAACTATTATTTTATATATTATTAATTATACTTCTTTTTTTGGCTGAGATGTTATACAGGTGCTTCTCTGTCCTGCCAGAATGTTGTGGAGAGGGTGGTTGGTATTGTCGAAGATGGATTCTCAATCTTACATTGCACTTGTCTCTTCACAGCAGTAATCCAATTTGCATTTTCATTTTCACCTACTCATCAGCATTCTATGACCATATTAAAATGAACATTGAAAAGTTATAATTTTCAAAGACTGAACCCATTGACAATATTCAAATACAATAAGCGAAGGTAAATGTCAGGAAGATATTCACAAATTTACTTGTAAATTAATTGAATGTATTCACAGATAATTTTTTTCATTTGTGGATACATTTTTTTGTGTATTTCCAAATCTGTTTCATATTTGAGAGATATTTTTATGAATTTGCCAATTTATTTTTTGTATTTGTGCAAGGTATTATATTAACAGATTATACATTTACGCACAGATTGTCGATCTGTTCACACACATATTATTGAAACAAATCTACCTCCATAGACGGTCATGGACAAATGGCCAAATGCCATTTTTTCAGTTCTCTTGAACCTTCATGGACCTTTTCCTCCCCTCTTTATAATGTTTGACCTATGTTTTTGTTTTTTTGTTTTCAGCCCTTCTCTAGCTATGTTATTGAAAACTTTGCACAACAAGCTGACATGTTGGTTCATGTCTGAACCTGTACTTAATAGTTGTGGGATTCCTCAGTGCCAGAGGATTGGAGCTGTTGAGCCACATCAGCGACACACGAGGTTGATCAGAGTGCTGTGAATATTTTATCTTCTTCGCCTGGCATAGGTATGATCCTTGCTGTAGGGTGATTTTTTTTTTTTTTAATACAGAACCACACCAAGACCTGCTTTCAAAGAGTCAGTTTATCAAAGTGACAAATGTGTTGTCACTTGACTTTTGTATGTACTCATGCAAATAGTTTTGGTTTTATTTGGCCCAGTTTTGCAATATCCACCTCTTATATTTCAGCCTCCACCCCAATACAATGGAGGTGAATTAAATTACTCACGTCAATTAAGAAACTGACATCTTTTTCGAGAGAAAGCTTCTGGTTAATCTAGATAATCCTCATAGTGTCAGCCAATATAATAGAATAGTTTGTCCACCAGAGAGAACTGACGGGTTTATTTATCAACTGTAGTATTCCCTGCTTGGTCACAGTTTTAATGATTCTTATCAAAAATTTAAAAAAAATTTCAGACTTTTGTAAATGTCAAATAACAATGTTGGTATCGGTCTCAAATATCTAGTTTTGGTCTGGTTCTGTGGGCAATTTTCACTGAAACTACTTTCACTTCTTCCTACCAAAGAAATACTCCCTATGAAAACTGTTCACAATGTGTTGAAATAACAAGGACACTGAAAAGAGAGCTGATTAGGTTTTGTAATGTTTAACACCACAAACAATATTTCATTTACCATGTTCTAGGGTGGCAGCAGAAATCTCAGAAAGTGAGAAAATACTGTCATTTTAGTTATTTAAACCTGATTTAATTAACTCCTTTTTTTCAACTCATAAGGGAAATATGTGGCTCTTTAAGCGCTAAATTCTCTACTTTGTCCACCAACTAGTTGTTTACTGTGTCTGTTCACCACCTGCCCAGCAACAAGCAGCAGGCAGTCGTTTTTTTTTTTGTTTTTTTTGCTGGAAATGATGAAAGTGATGGGAGTGATGAGAATGAACCAAAACAAAAGTTGAGGGTTGTAAACTAAAACAAAGAGGTGAATGACACCCTTTAAGACTCACAAGGTCATGGTTATGTGGTGACTCATCGTGAGAGCTGTTCTCAGGGGAATTTGTGTGGGTTTTTTTAATTACACTGTGACTGCTGTGATCAAATTCATTCCTCAAAATGTGAACTTGTATCTGAGTCAGCAAGGAGTACCAAACCTCATACCACAAATGATTTCATGAAGCTGCAGAGGAGTCTACCATCAGACTTAACATTTTAATCTGGCTCCCAAATGCTACGTTTCATGACTCCAAGCTTCAGTAAGCCAGAGCTGAAGTGATTCTGATGTTGTTTAATGTTGCCTTTTTGTCCTTCAGATTGTTTTTTCACATACACAAATGACCACTCTCAATCACGTCTTTTATTTGTAAGGCACCAGAGAAGCTTCCTTACTGCTAAAAGGTTGATTCATTCTCATTAGGAGTACACAGTTGCTTGTTTACATTTTTTTTTTTTTTTTGCCCCAGGTATTTTTAAATTGAAACTGTGTTCATCAACACATTAAACTGGTTTTTGTTTGCACAAAAAAAGGATAAAACATTTACAAACCTAGAAAACAATGTTAAGTGTTACTGCCTACTGAGAGAATGGGAGAGAAAAAACAGGAAAAAACGACATGGTATACAACATTGTGCCTCTCTTACTGTAGGCTTATAATGCACACATACAACACTTAAGTCTTCCATGATACACACACATTAAAAAGCAGCTTTGAAACATACAAAAATGCTTTAAAAAATATGTATATTGATATATTCATATGTATACAAATTGGCCCTTCACAGCAAAAACAAACACACATACCATTCATATGTCTGAGTTTTGCCAAAGGAGGTTTTCTACAGAGACCGACGTCAGCATAAAGAGTGCAAATGACTAACTGATCTGTTCTCACACTCAATATATTAAAGTCAAATCTCCTGGGAGGGAAACCGTACAGCTCCCCAACACTAGCACAGACAGGAAGAAGAAGAAAAAAACACAAAAGAGCACTGAGCCACAACTTAAGTGCTTTTCAAATTAAAATACAGAGAGAAAAGGTTTAAGCGCCAATCTCGGACGTGCTCAGACATTTAAAGGTGGGTTGTCAAAGCTCTGGAAAGCGCTCACATTACTGGGGAGTAACAGCTAACACCTGCAGTGTACCAACTCGGCCCACACTCAGAAAATGAAGACATGAAGAGAACAGCGCTGACAATAATGTGAACACAACAAACTGACCTGGACCTCTTTAGATGTTTAGTGGATGTCAGGCTTGCGAGTGCCTTTATACCAATGACCAGTGAGAGAGCACTGCTGCCCTCTGCTGCCTAAAACATGAACATTCCCATTTCTCAGACTGTGTCCCAATTCCATACAACATGCTAACTGCATACAATATGTACTTTTAGATTATACCTTTTTTTTTTTTTTTTCAAGAAATCAGTATACTTTTATACTAACAACTACAGTTTTTATATTGCAGTTTTATACTAACAAGAAGAGATACACCACTCACTTTGTCAGATGTCACTTTAACTGACTTTAGAAAACCCCTGCAAATATAGCTCTAAGACTGCAAAAATGTCTTCCCATAGATACGTTTTCTGAGGTGTTCCTTGAGCTATTTCACCACCATCAACAACTAGTTTTATTTATTTACTCATTTATTTTTATGACTATGACCAGCTTCTGTTTACTTGGTGCACTGCAATATAGGACAACAGTGTCCATCAGCAGTACACTCACAACTCAATTTTTTTTGTGGGCACGACTATTTTGTATAGAATTTATTTAGTTTCATTTCCAGTATGAACACACTACATACTTAAAACCTGCTTAGAATAAGGGTTGGGTATGTTGAAACAACTATTATGTACGACATGTTGTCTGACCCTGACAAAAAAATTGAAAGAGGTGATAATTATGTAAAAAATGGACATAACGGAGTGAATGTCTGATTTTTGCAATGGCAATTCGGTCTGATTATAAGGCTATAGATGGGCAATATGGTTAATATACATCTTGACATGGCAAATGCACATCATGGAAAATCACAATGTTCAAAGCAATGACCTCTGTTCAGCTGTTATGCATACAAAAACTTAATTTTTTTTAATGTATAATTGAAACATGGAAATAAATGTGTGTACTGTGGTAATTAGATAACATATCAGAAAACAAAAAAGTAAGCAATATCTGGAAAGAAAATGTTGCTCTTATTATGTTAAGTTTAACTGGCAGTGGCTATCCAGAGTTGCTAACGGACATCTGTTAGCACACATCTCATATTATTTCCTGTTAATACAAAACTGCATTTCATGTCTTATACGTGAACTACAAGATAAGTATACAACCCAGATAAGTAGTTAGTATATACTTTATAGAAGTAATATTCAGTATGGAGTTGGGACCCAGCTTTTGTTTGAAAATGTTCTGAATATAAACACCAGCCTGTTTTTTTTTTTTTTTTTTTTTTTTTTTTTTTTTTAATGCAAAAGGGTACAAGAATTTGGTTGTCAGCACAAATTCTGTTTGTAATAAAATCAGTTTTTTTCTGAGGCAAGGAACACATGTTTGCTGTTGCTTACAGAGCTTTAGCAACTCACCCAGGACACATTCTTCATCAAAACAATGGGAAAACGAAAAAAAGGGAAGACCCCATCCCCTTACAGTCACACACAAGATAGGAAAAGACAAGTGCTTGAGACAGTCTCAGTACAAACTGAAGTGCTGCTAACTTACAGAAATACAGTACTCATCTGTTGGTTACAACCATCTGGTTCTGAATTGTAGATCCTGTTCAAGTTTGTTTTAAGAGTGGACCAATAAGGGGACAGGGCTGATGCAGGGAGGTGAGGAAAATACAAAAGGTGCTTCAAAAAAAAAAAAAATTAAATTAAGCAAGTGTTTTCTTCTATCCAATCACATTCACTCGAGCACACACAGACAATTATAGACTAATTATAGCCTGTCTTTTACTTCACGAAAACAACATGTCAAAATAAAGTCAATTTTTTTCAGAGCGTAAATTCTTGTCCTTTAAAGACGAGTCATGGTCCATGCCATGTAGCGCGTGTAGCAGCAGCAGTAGCTAGGCCTATGAAACACAAATTAACCCCAAAGCTGGGTATACTACCATTTGTACAAACTATAGGGTTTTTCATGGAATAAAATCCCATTTATTTGGGACTGAGGTACACAGCTAAGGTAATGCATCCAGTGGTTGGTCATATGAAAACGGGTGGTTTAGGTTTTGAAGGGTTTGAATGCACCTGACAAGTGAAATGTCCCTTTAAAACATCCCATTTAACATCTTGGTAAGATTTAATTTGGCTCCAAGTACATAAATGCACAATATCACTGTCCAAACAGCTCCAGTCAACATTTTGGAAAAAGGTGATTTGAGTTACAGGGAACTGAGATGTTGTTAAAACTGCTTACTGTGACTGGCAGACAGGGGCCAGTTAGAAACAATCAGAGGGACTAAAAAAAAAAAAAAAAAACATAGAATACAGATCTGATAACAACAAGAAGTAGGAAAGATAAACCTGTGAGAGGCAGATCCATGTAAGGGAGACTGCTGTTAGCTTTCATCCTCAGCTCTCTCTCCAAATGGGAAAACATTTATCTTGGTTAAGCCTAACAACAGTGGCTTACACTAAAAAAAAAAAAAAAGCATATATTTAAAGTCTAGAAGCCTGAACTGAGTCTATTACCACTAAATAATAAGAACTCTCAATCTCAGCCATTCAGCAGTTTCATTCTCTACACATCCAAAAGCTTCAACTCCGTCCTCTCTGCTTGTCATCATCCCTGCAGTTACTCTTCTACATCAACACTCAGCAGACAGGCAGCCAGACTTACATCAATCTCCATTTACAGTTACAGTTTCACCTTTCTTTTTTTTTTTTTCTCGACACTTCACCCCATAACAATCCCCCTCCACAAACCTCCACACTGTGTCGGCACTAGTCTGACTTGTCCCCGTCCTCTCCTCTGGGTGCCCTCTCTGCGGCTTCCCGGGCTTTGTCCTCCTTCACCACCTGGGCCTGGCCGTGGGAGTAGTTGGCCAGGATGGAGGAGAGGGAGAGCAGGCCGGAGCTGGAGGAGACGGCGGGCAGTGTGGGAGGGGTCAGGCCCAGGGGAAGCGGGGTCACAGGCAAGGCCAGGCCCTGGAGCTGGGACAGGTGTTGCACCTGGAGCTGTTGCTGAAAACGCACAGATGGTCAAGACACAATCAGTTCACAGGTTATAAGACTTATAAGAGACGATAAGAGTTGTATACATATGTACACATATATGCATGTAAACAAATGTCACATGATGTTGGGGATGCATAGACTATAGATTGTGATGTGTGGTTGTGAACGGAGGGAAATACGCACAACCCCCGAGTACATAGTCGACATAACAACAACGTTTAGTTTTATGCACATAAAAGCAAAGTCAGTAGAAAGTAATATAAAGCTCACCCGTATGATGGAGTTCATCTCAGGCGGTGTGACCTGCTTGGCTCTCTCAATGGCGCCCATCACTTGCTGCTGATGCTGGAATAAAGACGCAACATGGTCATACTAGTTAGATGTTGACTGAAAGAAGGAATAGCTGGTAAAATGATCGTTGGGGCAGAGACTCTCAGTTGGACACATTTGTGAAGATGTCAGTGTCATTACCTCCTGTGACAGGTAAGGCAGCACCTGAGCACAAATCCCATTCAGTCTCTTCACTATTTCAGCCTGCAAAGAAAAAATGAATAGAAAAAAAAAAAAAAAAAAGGTCACACCAGATATCCACAAAAACTTGGCTCATAAAAGAAAATGTATTCTAGGGGAGGGTAATTACCTGTTTGTGCATTTCAATGTTCAGCCCATAGGACATTTCATAGTACTTCAATAAACAGAGGGAGAAAGATATAAAAGTTAGAATACACTGAATCATACCTTCTGTAACGTCTTATAAACGCACACACAAACTGCTGTTCTGTATGCATTAACAAATCCTGCCCAATCCAGTCCCAACCCGAACACAGTGGAAGCAGGAAAAGATGTGGTAGAAAATAGGAGACTAAAACAGCATTGGTAAAGACATCACTGAGTACCTTGGTATATTCCAGGAGATTGGATTCAACAAAAAAAAAAAAGCCACATCACCCTGAAAAAAGGACGACAGCAGACTTACCATGATATAGTGACGTTGCATCTCTGACTTTTCAGAGGCCAGTTTATCACACTCCAACTTCAAACTGTTCAGAGAGAATAGACAGAAGCGTTAGAGGACAGCTTGAGTGCAAATATCCAAATGAAAATATTTAATTGAATTTTATTATTTTCATTATTATTAAAACCCACTTTTGCTAAGACAGACACACAAGAGGCTCAGTACAATTTTCAGATGTTAAACATGTTAATGAAAACAATTTTCATAGCTTTGCTGAGGTAATTAAGACCATGGTAGTTTTACATTTCTTTTAATTGCATTGTCAAAGTGTCAAGTGTCTAAACTAACATCAGTACATGTGGAGCTCAGAGTATGTTGGACAGACACAGCACTACTTTGTAACTTCCTATGATGATGAGCTGCGATATATTGAGGTGTTCCTCATTTTAAGTGTGTGTGTTACTGCGTACGTACCTGTGGTATTGTGCTTGGAGGAACTGGAACTCATCCTTGATGCGGTCACAGGAGTCAGAAGTGGTGAACTTGAGAGGTTGACTGGACTGAGAGGATGCCTGGGAAAAACAACACCACAACAACATGAGCAGTTTTCATAAACTCACACAGAAGCCTGAAGTACACGCCCAAAGATCCTTGCGTCCAAATAAGAAATGTACTCTCTCCCTATAGGCTGCTCCAGGTTAATTTATCACTTAGTTCTTTGCTAAATCATAAACTGTCCAGCAAGAAAGGAATTAGAAAATGGGCCAGTGGTGTATATGTCTTTGTCCTGCTGCTGAGAAACCTGATGATAAGTGTGTTTTAATTTAAGTGTGTTTGGGTTTGTTTAGAAACAGCAGTTTGACCTCTGAGATTAACCCTTTGAGAGGATAGTTAAAATGAAGGTCAGCCTCAACTGAGCCACACGTCTGAGTGCGAGAGGTTGAAATGAGATAAAGACGGAGACAGTATGTTTGACTTGTATGCTACAACCCGGAAAGGGAGATCACCTAGCACTCAATTATGTTTCTAACAGCTGTCTTTGACAAACTGATATGCAACAGTCCTCTTTTAAAAGAAAAACAAAATCACTGTCCCAGCTCTTTTAGAGAACACAGAGTGTGTTGATTGAGGAAATGTGTTTACAGAAGGCAAGATTAAAGTGTGCCCATGCTGCACATATGTAAGAGGTATTTAGAGGCTGCATTAGAAGTCTGGTTATGTATAGACTATGCTTAGACCATCAGTCCAAAGCCGTAATCCAGGGTTTATCCTGTGCCCTAAACCTCATTACTCTCTAAATAAGTGGCACAAGGCCAATAGGTTTCCAGTGGGATTATGGGACTGAACAGAGAGGAGGGAGTTGCTTGGGTACACAGAAGTCAAAACTCTGCATCCAAAATGCAAACTTTATTTACTTGCCATGATTTCGCGGTACAAAAGAATTTCTAAAACTTGTCGATTCAATGATTTGATTGAGGATAAATTATGGGCGTCTATGCGTTGTTGAAGTCAGGCAAAAGTTCTATACAACTGCTGTGATTTTGGACTAAGGAAAAGTGTGACGGGCAAATTTCACTGTTTTCTAAAATCTTAGACACTATACAATTAATTCACTCAGGGTTCAGGGGGATTTCACTACTTTCTAATGTATTTTTAGACTTAACAATTAACTGTAAAAATTAGGGCAGCAACTAACAATTTTTTCATTATTAATTAATCTGCTGATTATTTTTCTCAATTGATTCATCGTTTAGCCTGTGAAACGTAACGAAAAATATCCACCCCAGTGTCTCCGAGTCCAATGTGATGTTTTCATGTGTCTTGTTTTGTCTGACCAACAGTCAAAAACCGAGAGATATTCAGTTTACTGTGATACAAATTAGATTTTTTTGGACATTTTTGCTTGAAAAATGAAATGAATAATCAATCATCAAAATAGGTGCAGATTATTTTTCTACAGCTGACTTAACAATCAATCATTGCAGCTCTAGTAAATATAACTGAGTTGCAGCTGACAAAGCATATCTGAAAGTTCTCTCAGTAATGAAGTATGTGAGGGTTAATGTGTCTTCTCAAATAGTTTAGAACTGAAAAATTGTAATATAGCAATAAACTGTTCAACTTGAGTCCTGTTCACAAGGCAATAAAGAATTCTTATTATTGACACCAGCGGTTTGAGACTGAACTCATCTTGCTTGTCACTAAATCTTTAGGAAGATCTTTGGTACAACCTGGCTTCAGAAAGAGGAACAGCAGTCACATGTTGAAACTAACCAACACGAATATTTACCAACACTTCACATATAACCTTGTATGACCATGAGACAAGTGTTTGTCCTGGTGCTTCGGATAATGGTCTGTGTTATTTTGTGTATGCTGCTTGTGCAGCATTTCCCTCATCAGTGGTTTTCTGCTCTGGGTGGTGCTATATGCAGTTTGCCTGGCATTAGTTGCTCATAAAGTTATTACAGAATAGGAGTGAAGCTGCAACCTACGATTATTTTCTTTATTGAACAATCTGCCGCTTATTCACTTTATCATCTGGTGAGTCTGCAGATCAAACCAAACAAGACATCTGAAGACAACTCCTTGGAAAGCTGTTGTTTTTAAATGTTTTTTGTGCTATTTTGGGAAATTTTACAGCAAGAACGACTGATCCATAACTCTAGAAAATAATCACCATATTAACTGAAATTCAAATTAATTGTGGGTTGCAGCCCTAATCATTTCAGCTTCATTTTTCCTTGTTTTAACCAAGTTTTAATACTGATTAATGTGCAAACTGTGGTAACATGATCAGGAATTGTTTGTGCTTTAGTTAAGGCCTTTTTTCCATCTCTTCCTTGGCTTAGCTGTTGGCTAAGTTGTTGTTTTTCTTCACTGGCTGATTGTAGACAGTGACTATTGACAGTTAATTTGGTATTAATTGCCCATGACTTCATAGGCTGTTAAAATAAACATTGAATAATTTGATTTGGTCTTGACGAGCATTAACTTGTCTCATTTCGTTTTAAATTAACCCATTACATTGCTCATTAAAAGGTGACGAATGCCAATTGAAATACTACTCAATATTTGCAGCAAGATTTGTAGTTTTGATTAAATAATTTCAAAGATAAAGTCTTTTTCCGCTTGGTGTCCAAACTGCCAAAGTTGGCTGTTGTTCATTCGTGTGCTCTGTATCCTCACATTTAATTTGGTTTGTTGACTGTGGAAACAAATAGGCTGATCAGAACAGAATAATACACTAACTTGCTCTCCCAGATTCAACCATCAACTTCAGTTAGCTGTTTTGAGTAACGCTAGCTAACGACAGGCTGTATTTGAAGGCAGATACAGGCAAGTTAGCGACAAACCAACGAACTAAATTAATTTTAATATTCTAAGATGACGCCTCGATTACATTATAACGGTACAAACGTCGTGAGTAGATGAAGAGAGGTCTGGCATTGTGAGACAAGCTGACAGCTACCTGCAGCCAGCAGTGCTAGTATCAGCTGTCGGTTGCTAGCTAGCATTAGCTCAGCTTGCTTCGTTGCTTAGTTTCCAACTGGGACAAGTTCAACTAGTCAACTTACCGAGTGCCTTGATTGAGGAAACATCATGTCAGCAGTGTGTTTCAGTCTGTTTCCTTGCTCTAATCGAATTACCAGGCTAGCTGGCTAAGCTAACAGGTCCCCAGATATTATTAAATGATTGGAGACGCTATTCGCACTTTGTACTCTGTCATCGTTTACAATAACGTTAGCTAACGTCAAAGCAGCAGGAGCCGAAGATCGTCTTCTGGTCTTTCAGGTCAGAAACACCGCGGCCTCCTAGGATGAACAGGCTAAAAGAAATAAAAAGGGTCCTCAAAGGAACGTCAGGTTTTTTTTTGGAATAACGTTAACGTTACGCCTCCCCGGGGAAACCCTGGATGTTGACACATGAGCCCCCGACTTTCCTCTGCTTTGAAGAGAAGAGCAGCATCACCCGGAAAACAAACCGAGCAGCGGAGGAGCGGGCGCCCCGTGTGACACAGAGCTGAACTGACCCGCTCATCACTGCAACCAGGGCCGGAGAGAGGACGTGTGGGGCCCAGGGCCGTATTATCAACTGGGCAAAATGGGCAACTGACCCAGGACCCAAGGCTCTGGAAAAACTCCCAATTTTACCGCACTTCAATTGTTTTTTCATTAAAATTTCTATGTGCAATGAACAATTTGCACCACTAAAGAATAGTATCTGCAAAGTCAGCGGATTATGAGACAAAGGACCCCCCACCCTTCCTACATATAAGAAAGACATCCAGACACAAAAACAAGTCAGTGATGTCATTTGGTATTTGTGGTCATTTTGTGTAACCTTGTAGTTGCTTTGTGTCTTTTAGTGGTAATTTTGTGCCTAATCATAGTCATTCTGCACCTCTGTGTTGTCTTTTAGCATCTCTTTGTGGTCAATTTGAGCCTCTTTGTAGTTGTGTGCGAATACTTGTGAAATGAACATAAAAACACTTAAGTACATATTTTTTACAAACACTTTTTAGTTCATTCAATTATCAAAAATATAATAAATATATAAGCTAAGTGCGTAATGTATGTGTTAATTGGCGTTGAACTAATTAGACTATATTGAAATTTATAAAAGTAAAATGAACTCAAAAATCAAGACTGTTGACTTAACATAAAACAATTATGTCAAGCTCACAAGGTATGAGTGTTTGTATGAAGTTTTTCCGTAACATTGGTGTGGACTTTACAATAACATTTTTTCACAGATGGATTAGGGTTTACAGTGAACAGTAGCCCCAAATATTCTAACTGTGGGTTGTTGATGGGTATTATAACTAAATATTAAACTAAATATCTAAAAAAAAACTAAAAAAAACATATATATTAAAAGAAAAAACAGGATAATAACGAACCAAGGGCCACAGTAGGGGCGTCATCGGTAGCGAGTTGATATAATGGAAGCAGTGTCTTAAGTCAGAATAAACAGGGCCAAACTATGGCTTTAAAAACACAACTACAGCAGCACAGCCAGACCCTGGGGGATATTGAGGTAGCCACATTTTTCAGAAGCACCTTCTTGGAAAACACTCAAGTGATCCAAACAAAAAGCCAGCCATATGATAGGAGTTTTTATACAATTCAAGACTTAAAATCAGAGAAATCACATTCATATCTGTTCCTGAAATTTGATACTATATCTTTGCTACTTGTGGTACTGTCTTGAGCATTAAAATTGCTTATATTAAGGGACCTCAGAAGTATTGCAAGTTACCTCAGACTTTTACAACATACAGAATTATGAAACCCACTCAACACACACACCATCAGCAAGTATAGGAACAAATTTATTTCAATTTAAAACAGATACCTTGTCATTATGTTTCTCTCTTAGAAGGCGGCAATGATCATAAGTCATGTTCATGTTTGAATGAGGATCAGGCAACAGTGGTTGAAACAAATACATGAAACACATAAAAAAATATGGCAAGAGTTATGTAAATCAATAATCGATAATAACCAACTGATTGAACCCCCTTCATCAAGGGCTCTGCTTCAATGAAAACATCCAAGCCCTCACTTCCAACACAAAATAAACAGCACATGCAATTATAATTACAGTTTCTTAAAAAACAGCAGATTATCTTTTAAATCTTCAATCTTAAATACAGAATAAAGTCTTTGTGTGTACTTAATCATCTATCCTTTTAGTCTCTGGTTTGTTTTATTTAAAAAGGGGGACCATCTTGGGTGGTGGTCCTTTTGATGATGACCACAGCGTTGGCACTTAGAGAGAGCCTGGCTCTAGATAGAGTGGGGTTGGCACACTCAGTATAATACATAATTTACATTTGGTTTACATACAAAATAAAGAGGAAAAAACAGCATTTTATACACCACTACACAACTGACCTTCAGGTTTCATTGGAGTGAGGAAAAATAAATCAAGTGGTCCTAAATAATAGTGTTCTGGTAATGTCTTCTTATCATACAGAGAAAGAAAATGAAAAACAACAAAAAAAAAAAGCTTAAGTTTTTGAATATGCACTGACTCCAAACTGATGTCCGAAAGATAAGTTTGATTCCACTCATTCCTACAGGCCCACAGGAAGGGACATCACACAGCCTCAGCCGCCGAAAAGGTCACAAGAGCATATGCTCCAGAACCATAACGGGCCAGCAACGCCATCTGTCATTATTCAAGGCAATGAAAGGCAATAAATAAGAGTGTTGTAGTGAAATACCAGTCCAGTCTTTTCACTGGTTAATGCTCAAAAACGGAGAAAAATGAAAGAATGAGATTTAAGGAGATTTAAGTGTCACACAGACTGCCATCCCTCTTTCCAGCTCATATATGTTGAGATAAAATGTGTCAAAAACACACTGCACCAGTGGGCCGCTAACAAGTACCAAACCCACACTAAAAGCCAGTCAGCCCTTCACCATGTGCCAGAGTTGTAGTGTCAAAATACAACATTGGTTCATCACTATGAAAGTGAGCTGCACTCAACACAAAGTAAATCTTAACAGGACTACAGATAAATACTTGGGTATTCATACTGGTATAATCATTCCACTTAAATACTGGCATCCACACACTCTTTATAACAGCTGTTTTAATGGTTGGCTGTCTGCTTCTTTCGTACAAGGTTAGTGTAATTTTTCAGCAGACAAAATGGCAGTTAAGGACCACACTGGCATTTTAACATTATATTTTAGCCCCATTAACCTAGTGTTCAAACATTACATGATTGCTCACCATTTTTTGAATCTTAAGTTTTTAGATGGACTTATTGTCTTTTCAGCAGCTTTTTGTTGGTTTCATCTAAGAAAATCAATTTAGGATTGACACAAAACTGATTTGAGATAGGTGACCCGTTACAGTCCTCTTCATTTTTCTGTATTGTTCATCAGTGCCTATATTCACTTATTTTGCAATCAGGTATTGGCCAGACATAAGCGATTTACATAAACTAGTTTGTCAGTGTCATTATAAAACTTTTACTTAATCAGTTACAAGAGGTCTGTTTTTAATGCCATGGCATGTTACCAGCAGCTGCCTTGAAAGTAGCAAACCAATCAATAAACTGAAAAATGGTCAACAATAAAGTGTAAGACTTGTAGTGAATGGGGTAAAACATGCAAAACCACCAGTATGGTCGTTAAGATTTCTTGGCTATCAGGTACAACTCAAATACTTGGGAAACATGCAATACTTTTCCTGGTAGTAATGTCTTTAGTGATAAGGTTCTCTACACTGCATGAGGTCTAACAGGTAACACTGTGATACCAATGCAAATAAACATGAAGTATTGAAGGTCAGAGAGCCAGATACTGGGTCCACCTAATTCACAGAAGGGCCCGATACATAAAGAAATACATAAAGAAAACTGCTTAGTGTTGGTAAACTCTCTACACACACACACACACTTTATGTTTGCATTAACACCCTGACTACACTTCTTATAGCACATACTGCAAGTAAATCTCCATTTATAAACAAGAATTAGTAGTGGATGACTTGGTTCACTGTGGTCCTGTACTCCAGTCCCCGCTGTCTGATGCCTGATGCACTGTGATAGCCCTTAATGAGGATGAAGGATAAGTCACCTGTAGAAAAGGTCAAAGACCAAAAAAGTATCTGCACTTCACTGGCACTATCAAAGCAAGCCTCAAAAAACTGGAAATTAACAATGCAAAAAACCGACAACAGAATTTTTTGTGTTAAATTACAAATAGCAAGCATGGACCGCATAGGTCTTCAATCACTGATAAAAAAGTCCACCTACGTTCGTACTGTACATTTTTCTAGGTATGCATTACAGCGCTGCGTCTATAAACCAAGAAGAAATACGAGTTTCTTGTTTTTTTTTTTTTTTTTTTTTTTTGTTTTTTGTTTTTTTAAATCAAACAAAACAAATGTGAGGGCTCCTAAAGAAACCAGTTATTATAAATGGATGGAGATGTGATGGCAAGTACAACTGGAAATGTCTCAATAAGAAATAGAAAGCAGAGATAAAGTCCTTACTATACCAGACATTCGTTTTTACAGCAGTTCAGACTCAAGTAGGCTCCACCATGAGAGGAGCACTTCAACATGACAGAATCAAAAGCAGTCAAATTATCAACACCTTCAAACCTGGTCCATAAATTAGATAAATAAAAAAAATCTTTAATTACTCTTAAAATCATCTTGTCACCATACTGTGAAGATTTTTACCAGCCCTAGTTAGTATTACTCTGGAGGCAGAGCTGTTGCAGTAGTGTGGAGTTGTGAGGCTGGTTGGGAGGAACCTCTTTTCTCTGACTATTGCTCCTTGCCGATCATTTTCCTCAGCACCACTCAGCTCTGCGTAGTCCTATTAATCAAGTGAACAAAATCCATAATCACAGTATCAATACTACCATAAATTCATAGGAAAAACTGTATGCTAATGAAATAAGTTTAGTTTTTCTTTTTTGTTTTTTTGTTTTTGTTTTTTTTTTTTTAGTTTTTTTGTTGTATTTTTTGCCAAAGATGGTGTACCACAGAGCATTTTTATACAGGAGTGTTTTGTGTATATGTATTTACAAACAAATATACACAAACAACATTTGCAGACTTCAGAGTGCGTTTTCTGTGAAAGGTTCATAACGCCCCCCCCCCCCTTCCTCTCACCACTCAATAGCAAGCAATCTTTTTTTTATAAACAAAGTGACTATACAGTAAAAAAAACAAAAAAAAACAAAACCAAAAAAAAGTAAACAGAAGCACATCCTGATGTAATAGAGACCATGTCACCATCAGGAAGTGGGTCTGATTGTACGGCTGAGCGATGCAGGTGTGACGCCATCAGAGATGTTACCGCATGGATTCTGGGCGTGTTTTAATTTACAGCTTTTATTTTGTTGAATAAGCTACTTGCAGCCCAAGCTGCAGATGTGCCCTGTGGGCTGATTAACACTGATGATGACATCACACTCCCCTCCACGTCTGCTTCCACTCAATCAGAGAGCCTGTGTTAAAAAGCAGGGTCCTCTCACCTTCTACTGGTGTTTTGTATTAAGGATATGGGGGTGTTATCAGTGGAGCCAGTTACTGTGAAGGTCACATGGAAGATTGTCCCTGTGAATCCATACAGAAAACATCTGGAGGGGGGGAAGCGATGTGATTAACTTAAACATAAAAATACAGAAATCTTTAAAGGATACTTATGTCAAGTAAATTTCTGGTTGCTTCTTTTTTTTTGGATGTCTTTGTTTAAAAGTTTTTATAGATTTTCTTACCATTTCTTATCACCATTCCATTTAGCCATTATCTGTTAAATAGAAGTAGACGTAGCAACAAATTTCTATCATTAAAAACATTTAAAAAATCTCAGCAATGAACAGATTTTGATTAGCTATGTCTTGTCCTCTCGTGCTTTTTGTCTTAAGTGTGTTTACATATGCATTTACTTCATAATATATATATCTATTTTTTGCGATTGCGATGCTCAAACTGGTGGGTACATTCATAGATGCGAGGTGGAGACAGAATCCTCAGCCCCATCCCCTTGCATCCTGTGTGAAACCTCACATCCTGTCCAAGTCACTCTGAAGTATCTCTTTTGTCAGCATCGAGCCGCTGGTCCTTGGGTGTTTTCAGCAGATACAGAATTCACTTCCTCCCACACTGGCAGAAAGGAGATGACGGAGGATCTGATCTCACACCAATGAGGGTCAACTCCAGAGGGCCAAAGGGGTTTGATGCTGCTATTCACCAAAACGCAGCTCCTTGCTAGTCAATGCTGCCCCAAATATACACACACGCACACACACACGTACCACACACACAAACACCAAAGTCCCCTTCAGTCACTGTACAGCCCGTGTGAAAGGTTTGTGTGCCAGATGAAATGTGCCAGAGCTAGCAGCCGGAGCCAAATCTGACACACGGAGCAGCTTTGGGAGGAGCGAGGATTCTGACACAACAAGCTGCCGAGCGAAGGAGGAAGAGGGCGAGCTTTGGTGAAAGAGCAAGGGGCGGCGTTTGCAGGTGGGAGGGTCTGTGAAAGTACTGTACTGGGGGGGGTGCAAGTGGTGGGGGGTGGGGAAAGGAAGGGTTCTATTAGAATGCGTGTCTGCTTGTGTGTGTGTGTGTGTGTGTGTGTGTGTGTGTGTGTGTGTGTGTGTGTGAGTATGTGTGTGAGTGAGCCGGCATGGTGTGCTGTGTAATGCATGTGGAGCTGAGTGCACACTTCCAAAGAGGTGTGCATTTGTGCAATGGGGAGGAGATGTGCGTCGTACGTGAGCCCTCACACCAGGTTGTACTCTTTGAGATTGAGCTGTAGGATGGTGTCTTTGACAGCTGCAAACACAAAGCGGATGTTCTCAGTGTCCGTGGCACAAGTGAAGTGAGAGTAGATGATCTTGTCGCTGTCTGGGTTTAAGTCCACAAACATCTTGAGGATGAACTCCCGCGCTGCCTGTGCATCTCTCTGGGGACCTGAAATTTAGACATGGAGGAGCACATGTAAACATGCATATACTTCTCACCACAAGGACGGTCATTTAAAACGCATCATAACATCTGTGTCTGCATCACTTTCACACCTGTGGTGCAGTTCTTTTGCTCCATTGTTACCTTTTGTTTTGTTCTTTTTCCTGTTCACACTGACTTATGACAAACTAACTCAGTGGTGTTAACACAAACTGATATGGACCAACTTATCCATGGGACAGTTTTGTGACATCATCATCTGCACCACTTGGACCCACATTGGGATGTTCTCATGCTAGTAGTGACAGAAGAGTATGTAGTGTTGCACCTTGTGTTTATTTATCTTGTCTGGTGTCACAAAGACCTTGCAAAAAAAAAAGCTCTTTATGTGTGTTATGGTCAAAACTACAAGTAAACCTCATATATCTTAAATCATGCATGAAGCTACACTGTTTTGATTGCTAAAAAGCAAGGAGTAGGAAAGCAGCTCAACAGTTGGGTTTTAACTTCTTCTCAGTTTCTGATGCATCAGAGAAAATTATGTCTTTTTTTTAGAGAACAAATGGGCAAATATTCACTGCTGCTTTTTTTGTCATATATGGTAATAAACAGAATACCTTTGAATCTTTTGATCTGACTAAACCTGAAGATGCCGCCTTAACTCTAAGTAATTAAACTGCATTTTCACAGTTGTCTGACTTTTACATGACTGAATGATAAATCAGTAATGCAAGATTGATTAGTAATGGAAGTCATCGTTAGCTGGAGAGCTAATATACACCTACATCGCTCATATACTGTAGGTCTGGAGATTGCCATCTTGACAGTTCCCATGATTGGCAGATAGATTTAATAGTTGTCTGGGTTTTGAATTCAGCCTAAAATCTAATATCTACCATCATAAAATCCAGTGGTTAATCTGCTTTGCTGTCACACCACAAACGACCCAGACCAGAGTTTCAGTCAAAAGTGATGATGTCAGTGTTGTTTTTCTTGAAAAGACTATGGTCAAAAGCAATTTCAGACTAGTGCACAACATCCACATTCACATATTCTGTCAGAGGGGGTGATTGCAGACTTAAAACTTCTAGAGGGAACCACACAAAAAAAAAAAAATGTGTCAGATTAATCAACACACACTCATATACACCAACGTATAGATGATCTCACCATCGAACTCGGGGAAATAGTCCACCAAGTGTGAGTAGGAGATCTTCTCCTCTAGCAGGTCCTTCTTGTTGAGGAAGAGGATGACGGAGGAGTTTTGAAACCAAGGGTAGGTAATGATAGTCCTAAATAGAGCTTTACTCTCCTCCATGCGGTTCTGTTGTAGGGGAACAAAAGTGTGAGAAAACTCAAGTTCTCTGGCAGAGTGTAATTTTTTTTTTTTTTTTTTTTTTTTTTTTTTTTAAATCAATGGTTAAGGTGTTGCAGATATATTATTTCACCCACCTCGTTGTCTGACTCCACCAGGACCTGGTCGTACTCACTCAGGGCCACAAGAAACATAATGGAGGTGACATTCTCAAAGCAGTGAATCCACTTCCTCCTCTCTGACCTCTGACCCCCTACATCCACCATCCTGATGGTAAGATGAAGGTGAAGAGGGGGATAACAAATGAAGAAGCGAGACGAAAAAAAACAACATGTCATCAAATAAATCCTGGTGTCCTAGTTGATGTTAAGTGATCTAACTGAAGATTAGAGGCCAGAATGAGAACTCAGTGTTTAACAGGACAGAAGTTCAAACTTGCTTTTAGGACAGTGCTATGTTGTTTTCACCAAGGTTTTGAATCCATCGAGTTAGATTTGGTACCAGCACCAAATCATGAACCCTGTATATTCTATGACATTACAAATACGCTGGATTATGACTCACTTTGTGCAACATAATGCATACACAGCAAATTAACTTTACAACAAAATGTTTTGGTCCAGATTAGTTTCAGGCCCAGCAGTCCTGAAGATTTTTTCTGGTGTATGTCTTCCTTAAACATTTTCAGCACATGACCCAAATAAAAATACAGTCTCTCATCCAGGGACGTATGAAAGCATATTTTTATGAATATGTAAGGAGACATCAGAAATAGGCCTATCATTTATTTTGGGTCCTCACCATTTGTTTTTTTAAAAAAAAAGGCCATACTGCAGTCCTATTAACATTATTTTGAATAATCTTTGAACAATTAGCAGTTAACTGAACAATTAACACCTGATGGATTCAACACCTCAAATTCACAACTTCTTGGTCATGATTTTTTTTTCTTCCCCCCTCCCCCAAACGTGTACAGTCATCTCTATTTGGCAAAAAATCTACACAAACTACAAATAAACCAGAAATAAATGTGAACTATGAAAATGCTTTTGTCCTTCACTGTGAGTGAGTCATGCAAGCCACTGCAAAGATGAAAGCTTCCCAATTAGGACAGATCAAGGACCAGGAAAACCAATCAGTTTGAGAAATCTTATCATTTTCAGTCTGTCAATTCAACATTTCTGGACAGAGAAAAACCTGCAAAACCAGAAACTACACAAAAATGAAGTATAGTAATATGTGAATCTGATTTGTATACAAAGAAAAATCTTATTTAAATTGTTAAATGGATATTTTCTGTATGTTAGTTTGCATAACACACCCTCCACCTGCCCCCGATCTCAGAACACTGAACATGTATAAACAAAAATACCCAACCGATAAACATGAATTTACAGATAAGACTCAACTTTGGTCAATAACCCACATCTTGCTGTATAATAAATTGTCTATATATTTGTGCATCAAAACAGTCCAAACTGAAATATCTTACTGGAATTCTTAAACTGAGTGGCATTCATCTGGTCATACAGGAAGTCAAAATTACATCTGATACTAGATCAGTGGGTACTCCTGTTTATGTGATACGGTGAAAGCTTTCTCGACCCACCCTGGTGTGTGTTTGATAAAGCACCACACAACAATCGTTAAATTTTGAAACAAAACAAATTGGGGAGGGACATAAAATGAAGGACAAAAGTAGAGATGGATAGGGGGTACAGGCACAAAGGATAGAGGACAGACAGAGGGCAGGAGGCAGAGTTGAAATGTTGATGACAGAAACAGGGGGCACCTCTGATGGTGGGATCCTTTTCATGGCAGAATGACGCCTCCTACATCACCTAACGAGACACTACAAGCTGAAGAAGTATGGCATTTGTAAGTCATGCGAGATTCACTAACACCACTAACTAAGCAAAAATTGGCATGAAAAGTTTGATGTCAGGACATGTGCCTGCAGGTAGACAGGCTGGCATTCGCTGAAGCGATTCATGAACAGCAATCCTGACTGATGAAATGTGTGAATCCTCGTAAGGTTTCAGTTTTCCCAAGCTTCTCTTTGACAAGGTCACCCTTCACTCATAAGGGAGTTTAGGGTCCCAGTTTCATTAAGCTTTCATCTGTGACAACTGATTCAATAAAATCTTTCACGTCAGGAACCTTTTCCTGTCAAAGCCGGTATATAAATGGCACTGGTGCTATTTAATGCTTCATAGTGCGTATTTCGGTGCACCTCTGGATGCACAGGTGCAAGCCTCCAGACCAGGTGCTATGTGGTCTCTAAGAGAGCTGCACAATTCACAATGCAAGGGTGCCCCCTGGTGGTGGCCCAGTCCACTGTGGTCCACAGAGACCCGGGGGCCAATATAGGCCCTGCAGGACCTGCCGCCCAAAATAACATTCCTCCACCGCGGAGAGGACGACCTCGTTTCTTCTGCCAGCCGGAGAGGGAAGGAGGAGAGGAGGAGGAAAAGAGGAGGTGACCCATTTACAGAGACCGGGCACCAGAATGTAGGACTTTCTGTTCATTAGGGGGCTGTGTTATGTGTGGTATGATTGCTGTTGGTGGCAAGAGGTAAAAGAAAGTGTGGGGTCTATGGAGACACTATAAAATGCTAATGACTTGGTTTTTATGATTGGAGCGTTAAAGAGTAGGAATGGGAAAGAGACACTCAAGTCAAATTTATAAATCAAAAGTCACAGGTTACAAGTTCTTTCCATTAACGGGGAGGACAAACAACATGGTTTAATTGGGGCTTTGGACAAAAACACATCAAATGATGTATGAGTTAATGATGTCATGACATAACACGGAGGGACTCAGCCAAAAAGTGGCATCTTTCTACCTGAAAATGATGCTTTGCAAGTCGAAGGGGTACTCTATGATTCCTGTAGTGGGGATGCGCACCCTGAGCACATCCTGCTGAGTGGGAAGATAGTTGGAATCTGAAATACGATCCAGATCGGTAAGATAACTACAGGCAGGCCGGTGGAGAAAAAGAGAGATAAAGAGAAAAAAAAAGACAGGAAAACAGTTATATAAAGCGTGACAGGCAATTACCACAACCCCCCCTGCCATTCCAGGAAGTGTGGATCAGTCCTGTTGAAGAAGCTTCACAGAAAACGCCACATCTCAGAAACAAAGGGCTGTTAGTGTCACTGCTCCACCAACACTCTCTATCCATAAACCAACACAAGACCTTGGAGATTAGCTGTTAACTTGCAACTGTAGCTTTGAGTTTACTTGACTCTTTTTAAATCGACAACAATTTGCTGTGAGGTCAAGTAGTTTGTGGATTATGTTGCAGACAGTGAAGTGGCATCAGTGACAGTAGTAGCAGTGACTTGAGCAGCAGAAACAGCAGCACCTGCAATCAGATAAAGAAGGGTAGGACAAGTATGATATCAAAGACAGCAGGAAACATACTCCCTACTTTCTATTTCCAAAGGCATATAACGTTTCAAATCTACTAGATTTCAAATCATGCCAATTGTCTCACACAATCTCCTGGAGAATCTTTGACATCACTGTCTAATCCTTCTTCATCTGGTATTTGGTGGCTGCTCCCCACACGCTATAGTGCAGCATGTCTGGCCTTAGTTTTCATCCTTGGGTCAGAACCTTAATACAACTCTGGACACAAACCACTGTTCTAATCAGGTTAACCAACCTGGCCCTCAGGCTCATTTAATCTAAACACAGCATCATTTTTATTTTCCTCTGAAGGACGACTGTGTCTTTTTACCCTAATAATGTGGTGGCATTTGCAAGTTTGTAAAAGTGTTGTGATTGCACTGGAAACAAATCATCTGGTTAATTTTACCTTTTTTGTCATTTTTTTATTCAGCATAATTTATAAGAACTAACCCCCTCTGAACTAATGTGCTAATATCCTGACAGTCATCAGTGGTTTCTGTCCTCTAACTATGGTGAGGCTGCAGTCCTGGTGCCTTAGGGGTACCTGAAGATGACGTTCTCCAGGTCAAATGGGTACTCTATTATACCCGTGGTGGGAACACGGACCCTCAGCACATCCTGCTGGGTGGGAACATATCCCTCCGCAGTCACTCGGTCTATATCGCTAAGGTAACTGGAGATATGTATGAACAGTGTAGATAATGCTGAAATAAAGACATTCAGTAATTTTCTTGTCTTTCCCAATTTCAGAAACATGCAGGACAAATACATAGCTAACACATTTACCATTATATTGCGCACACAGCAAGCACTCCTGAACACATGCAGACTTGAAGCAGCTTTTAACTGTAGTACAGAAATTCTACAACCAGGAGGCACTATAAAGTGACTGAAGTACCTTTGGCCATTGAGCCTCCTGTCACAAATCATTACACTGGAATTGTAGCAAACACTCATAACCACACACCGAGAGGCTTACACATTTGGCAGCAAATAAAGTGGAAACAAAATGAATACACCTTGACATTTCTTAAAAATCTGTGGTTATTACCGACATTCAGACATTAAATGTAAACCTTAAATTTTAAATTAAATCATAGTCATTTTTGGCTTATGTGTGCATAAAGAAAAGGAGCCACTGGGGAGTGCACACATTTAACCTTAGCTGTGACAATATTAGATCGGACTGTGTGTATTCTGTGTTTATTTCTGGAGTATGCTCATAGATGGTAACATGTAGTTTATAAGCAGGTTAAATGACAAGCAGGATCGTGGCTTCAAAGTCACTGTTCTGCTCTCTATTATCTGGATGATACAGCATGGGTGAGGCCAACCAGTCGTCTCTCAGGTGCAAGGAACCCAAATGACACATTGCACTGCTATCAAGTTATCACGCACTTATCATATACTGTAAATGAACAGCCACAGTGGAAAACAACCAACAATTAAAAGCCAAATAGTGGCTCTTGTATAATTTTTCATATAAGATTATTTGTGTATTTGTCAATTGTGTAAATAGACTGGTGAATTTTGAAATCTGTCAACCAATACTGTCTGTGGATAAAAAGCTAATGTGCTGCCCTGCCCCAGCATACGTTACATAACCCACAGGGTTATTAAACACAGGTATTTACGACAGAACATACACACACAACCTGCCACAAGCCACACATCTCAACCCTAATTACTGTGAAAACTGTTGTCTTGATCTCTGGAGACAATTCTAACTCCCTATTACACATAAAATTAAAAGGGCCAGTTCCCCAAAATCATACAAAATATATTTTTCAACTAAGCTGTGCAGATAGTTTCAGTAATCAGACATTATCATTTAAAAGTGCTTCTGAAAGCAACAGATATCTGTAATCAGCTACAACTACTGATTTTGATGAAGTGACCCTTTAAATTTCATCTGGATGCACACACAAGTTCAGTCACATTAATTAAAGCACAGACGCACCATTTTAATCCTGCATGCATATGTGGTTGCCACACACACACACACACACACACACACACACACACACACACACACACACACACACACACACACACACACACCTTCTTAAATCCTACAGAGGCACAAACACAACAAAGAGAGACAGACAGACAAACGTACTATTTAGTGGAGTCAGACAGCTGGTACTCTCTGCGGCGGTCGTAGGCCTCCTGGATCCCCGGGTCAGCCCACAGGCTCTTGATAGCTACAATGTAGGGCTGGTCAAACCCATTGATCTTCTCAATGTCCACCTCCTTCACGAGCATGGCATTAGACTGGGAAGACACAGGTGAGAAGGTGAGATAGGAAAGCAATAGGACAAACAGAAAACGAGAAAAGCAAAATGAAACCAGATTTATTAAGTTACATATTTCCTAAAACTTCCAGCTGAAGATAATTTGCATATCTGTAGATATGTTTCTGTTTAGACCTGTTGGCTGATCCTAACCACCCACTTATTTTACTTATCCCAGATAAAGTTTCTGCTAGACAAACTGAATGTGTCAGTTCTTGTTCACCAGAAGATTTTTCCTGTGAAAGATGTACAACTGACAGTTGGTCTAACTGGGAAAAATAACAGATGAAGAGGTTGGAGACTGACACCAGGGCTAAAAAGAGCAGCAAAATGGACATTTAATGATATGAAAATGTCTGATAAACATTGTGAAGAATTTCTTAAAAAGGTCTTTAAAAAGTTATATAAATATAAATAAATAATAAATAAAGCTATGGGCAAAGGTCAGCCATGTATAATGTCCAACAGACATACCATGTGAGACACTCATCTTTACACCTTTACATAGTTCATCTAAAGGGGCATCCACTCCCTCTATCTCCCTCCCTCTAACTATTCAATGTTATTCGTAGAACTTGATAATAGATGAGTGGAACAAACATTTTATTTTCTAAACTTCACAGTGGTCTTTTTATAATCAAATTATCTTTACAGCAGCTCCTCAAATATCGCTATGCCATCTGCTTATATGGGGCCAGTTCGCTGTACTTTATGTCTGGTTTTCACATCTGGTGCACTGAAATGGCTGCCTCAACCAAAATGTTTCTATCCTTCCTTTCTGTAACATTTTCACTGCACTTAATGAGTAATTCTTTTTTTTCTTTTTTTTTTTAGGGTGACCAGGTCCTGACACTGCTTTAAACCTGCACAAAAGCCTTGTCAATACCTTCTCCACTACTACCCCATTAATTACAATATGACCTTATGTGAACTTGTAACCCTGCTTCAGTTAAAGAGGAATTTAAACCTGTCAACTGAATAAGACGAACAAAAACCTGGTTGATGTGTAGATATACATACTATAATCAAACAAAAGTAACTATGAATAACAGTAAATATGCCTCTTACTACTCTTACCAAAATGAAGATATTTTAATTCAAACAAATTGTGATTTCAGTTCAGGACTATGACTTTTATTTTGAATAAGGAAACAGTAACAAGAGTAACTTACACACATTTCATTTGGATAAATTACGTGACAGTTTTTCTTGTGAAACGTAACCGTTAAACTGATGCAATAATGCAACACATGCTGAAGATGGCTTTAAAACTGTCAACACTGACAGGGACAAACTGTAAATCTGATTTATCCATCTTCATTCTTTCTTGTGGCATATAATGAGTGGGTTTCAAATTTTAAACATTAAATTGAACATTTTCTTTTGACGACTTCAACTAAGTGATGTCTCTTACCGAAAATATTTCTGTCACCACATTATTTGTGGATGCCAACAGTGGCAATAATATGATCTTGTTACGGGAAACATCATTTGCTTCACAAAAATGAGGTGACGATACTGTTCATTCATAATGTAGATAGTGATTCTAAATCCAGATCCTTATGAAGGTAGCATACTGATGGTCTATCCTACTGAATATCAGATCACATTCACCTTGCATCCCAGGTGTAAATCAGTACTCAATTAGAGGTTCACAATAAAAGACCAGCAGGGCTCTAAGGACTGGAATTGAGAACCACTGTAGCTTACAGTAATAGACTATAATTATGTTGTTGTATTGTGCCCACGATGTCGGTAAATATTTCATTTTCAGTCATGCTAATGTATTAAAAGCAGCCTATGTACAAATACCCCAATATTATATCTGGAGTTTAGTTTGGATGTGTTGTGTGTCCTGAAGCTTGCTTAAAATATAGACTATTTTAGATTGTGCAGATAAACTGTGGTCTTTCAGAAAATCCAACCAAATGGCATACAATATCAAACACTGTGCAGAGTAGAAGATACTTTGGAATGGGTGGCAGGACTTGTATAAGTATGTTTTCTGCGGAACAATCCTTACCCGATTCTGTTCAAATTTGTAGGGGATCTTGAGGGTCTCAGTTGCCCGGATCATGGCCTGCATGGACGTGAAGACGTTCTGGTAAACAAGCCGGATGAAGCCTCTCTTATCTTCATCTGAGTATCCGGCTCCATGGATGATCCTCATCTGCTTGATGAAGGTGCTTTTGCCACTTTCTCCCGTACCTGAGTGGGACAGAGAACACATAGAGTTAGAGACAGGGTGCAGCAAAGTTACCTCGTGGACAAAGTGGTATAGCATTGCAAAGCCATGTAAGGTCTGGTCTGTCATCACATCCAGAATACCAAAAGAAAACAAGCAGGAAAGAAAGACAGAGGGTGAAGGTGAGACAGGAAACTCTCTGCTTCATAGAATGAGACAGAGATGAGCAGAAGCCTGTAGAAATGAATGACATTCTTCATACACTCACAGTATCAAGTCCCTGGCCACTCTGGAAATCACCAATTATAATAATACAACCAGTGCAGCAAATGACAGTACATTAGAAAGATTTGATTACACAGAACACAGAGGTTTTAGGTAATAGGTAAACTCTCAGTCTTTGAGATTCTCATGTAAAGGATTAACAGCATCTGAGAAAGATGAAAGAAAACTAAGTACAGAATATTTTCTTCTTCAGCTACTTTTTGTGATTTTTTTGTCCAATAACTATAAACAGACATTCATGGATCAGCCCAATAACTACTGTATATGTGGCATCTTCAAGTCATTGGTGAAGCAGTTTTCAGTACAAATGGACACAGTGACAAAATATATAATGAGACATGATAAGTTTGTGAATTTATTTCTTATTTATCACACACTAATATGTAGTCTACCTTTGATATGAATGAGGTGGAGAAAAGAAACACCTCAATGCAATTCAACAGCACCACAAACTATATCAGCCAATATTACTGTTAAAGGTAAATTCAACACCTCACCTCTTATAATGCATTAGTTTTAGCTAGGTGTAAAAAAAAAAAAAAGGTATCTGTATCAATATTGTGATTTAAAATGACTAAAATAGTGACTAAAAACTAGAATTTTTCTATATTATCAGCCCTATTCGGTGCTAGACCCCGTCCCCTCCAATTAGCAGATAGCTCAATTTGAAATCAGGCTTCTCATTTGTGCCAAGATGACTAAAAGCCAAATTTGTAACCAAAGACAGATGCTCCATGAAAGGCAAAAATCACCAAAAACTTTGATGCCAGTTGAAGAGATCCAAGAACATGCTACAGTCTGTTTGTGTATCTGATGTTTAAGTACTAATCATTCATTTCTGTTAATCAATAAACCAGTCAAATCCGCACAGCCTGGCCCAAATGAAGCCAAAGTATCTAGTAGGTCTAATACTTCTCTGAAAACTTGATTACTGTGAGATGCCCATCTAAGTCAGTTTCACACGTTATGAAATCCCTCCACTGGGATTCCAAGTTGATTAAGTAAACTGGTTACGACTGCTAATATGTCAAAGCTTCTTTGTGCGACATCAGGATGTTATCAAACTATTTGGAAAGCGAACAAATCAAAAATATTTCTAGAAAGAAGCAGAGAGACGAGTGGCAGAGGATACAAGCTAATTTAATGAGGATGATTAAACAAATTGCCCTACATTTAAGGATCTGACACTGAACTGCCTCTGCCAAAAGGTGACAGTAGGGGTCGTTGTCAAAAGACTGCATTCCTTCAGTGATCCTCCTCTGCCCGCCTGAGTCCATATCTGGACGCAAGATCATTGTAATATTTCAAGTGGTGTCAGGTTTCCAGATTCACACATATGGTAAAGAAAGAATGGTGCCCACGAAAAAAACTATATACTCTATATGTAACTATATACTGTTATAATGTACATTTTTTAAAACGATTATTCTGTTTCTATTGATGCAAAAAGATTCTTGATTTCAGTCTCAAAATCAAAATCTCTGCATCCAGTAAAACACTTGTTTTTGAGCTTTTCAAGATCTACAGTGACTGCCAAATAAACCCCCAACTTGCTGGGGGGGTTCTGTTGGGCCTAACCCACATTTCACACTAGTCCTCTATGTTCTACATGCCCAGAAACGCCACCCTCAGGCCATCCAAAAATAAAATAATAAAAAATAAATAAATTAAAAAAAATAATTAAAAAAAAAACAAAAAAGGCTGATGGCATCTCAAAGCTCAGTGAAATCAAAAAGGATCCTGCACATCCATAATATCTGGCAAACTGAAAGGGAAAGACGAGGAGGAAAAAACATACACAAACACGCGCATGCACGCACACACACACACACACTCATCTCACCACCACCACCTACATTCAAGGTTTTTGAAGAGCAGCCATATTTCCGTTACCATGGCAACCCCATCCTCTGTCTCCCTCTCTTTTTCGTTCCTGTGTGTTTTTTTTCTTTTTTTTTTTTAAACCCCTCCCTACACTCCGCCGCCCCTTCTCTCTCCTCTCTTTCGTAGCAGACAGTAAATATAACTGTGAGCCCCTCAGGCTTGCTCTGTGCTCTTCATCTTTTGGTGCACCACAGAGAAGAAGGGCCTCAGCTCCACAGAGACTCTAGGGGGGGGAAAAAAAGCAGGTCTGAGGTCAGTAGCAAGGGGTTCCTAACACCAAGGACTGTAAAAACGGTTGGCAGAGATAGCTGCTTCACTGCTGATGTGGGGTAGAAATACCTTAATCCCAGAAACAAAATAAGGGTTTCAACACCGTGTCCATAAGGGGAAATGACTGTCCTTCATTTGAGGAAATGTCCAATTTTGTCCAAATCATTCAGAATAAAGGTTTCATCTTCATCATGTCTCCTGGATGAATCAATGCATTGCAATGGATGCTGCACATTGGCGCCTACAAGGTAGTCGGTCTAATACAAACTGTGGTCGTCTAGCTAACAAAAGGAGTCAAGTATAGAGAGTGTATTCTTTGTATTGGGCTGTGGCAGTAGTGTCCTGGTAGTGACTACAGACAGCTTCAGCAAAGGAGCAAGAGGATCACTCTCCAGCTTAATGTCTGATTTATTTCTCGTGACCCCGTCACAAGATCTCCCTCCACTATGTTCTCTTAACTGTCGTGTCCCTCTTTCACCAGACAACACACTGCGGGCCTCTGTCTTCCCTTTTTCCTCCCCAGATTGTACCAGCGCCAGCCACAACCATTTCCATGCCCTCACCAGCTCTCCCCCACACATACACTACACGCTCTTCCCCCTCCTCCCCTCCGTCACAACCCCTCCTAACCTCCCTTAGGCTAGAAATATGCCTCTCCATTCTCATCCCTCTCTGTCAAGAATTTTGGATATTCATAACTAGAATCCATCCATTCTTTTTTGGTAATGACCTAGAAAAAGGAGGTCACCTTTTAATAGCTCACACACTACTTGGGTTTGATAATGCTTTCTGTTCTAGGTAGCGACGAGTGTGAGAGAGAAAAAGACAGAGAGCTTAGATTATGCCCAAATGCAACATTGCAAGGTACACTACACAGCCCACACACTAACACTGGTCTTTTGTGGAGCCGATGTGTTTCTTGGAACAGAGCTAAGTCTCAATCAAGGGTAACCCAACGACAATGAACATTAAATTAAGACTTGCTCTGAACTGCCAAATTAAGAAGAGCCAGTGTGAGACAGTAGGTAAATAGTAACAGCTATCCATCATGTAAAGACATCAAACACTTCACCTGTATCCTCCGTTGCCAGGCTATCTTTCATAAGCCTTTACATAACGCGACTGATGTCAGCGTGTGACACAACACCTGATGGACTTGACACACCACTGTCTTAGTGCAGCAGTTTTGGTTGAGCCCAGGTTGCCTCACCGTCATTTTATCTGACCGTGCCTCTGTGTGTGTGTGTGTGTGTGTGTGTGTGTGTGTGTGTGTGTGTGTGTGTGTGTGTGTGTATAAGGCTTGCTTTGTTTACACAGTCTGCTCATATCCTATAATTCTTCCGTCATGCTTCATATGCAGGCATGGCCGGCCATTAAAGGCCTCATGCACAAGCAGGGCCGTGCCTGCTAAACCCGGCTTCCCTCTGCAATGCCTGTCGCTGCTTTCGATGAACAGGAGAAGGGTATTATCAGCATCATGGTAAACCTGCATGCAAATACACATGAAAATATAATTGTCCATTGGTATGAACAGTGTTGGCTTATCTTGGTCTATGAACTGTCCTTTCAGGCAGGGCATGGCAGTCCAATCTCAGCGAGAGCGAGAAATTTGCATGGACAGAGCAGAGGTTAAAGTATTATCAAAACCTCAAGATTGGCATTATAGATGTTAGCCTTTTTATCAGAGACCTGGAAAGATACTTCATGAATCAGACAATCACAAGGCCAATCGAAATGAAGCGTGGGTCTCAATCTTTCACTAAATTCATCTTGGAAACTGGCCTCTTTCAGATGTACAAAGGAAAGGGATTGAACCAAGGCAGCCTGGAGCTACGCAACACACACACCAGCTGCCTAACCAACTGTGGACACACACAAATCCTGTGGTCAACCTCAAGGCATGGTTGTTACCTCCACAGTGATGGCCCATTTCTTCCTGCAATGACCTCGGCCGTGCAGACAGTACAGGACTCCAGCAAACACACACACATAAGCATAAACACAAACCAAAGAGGACTATTTCTCTCTCAGCTCTATTGCAGCTTTCCAGCATGTGTTGCTTGCTGTCAGGATCTGCTGCATTGTGCTGATGTCTCTGCATCTGCTGAGTGCTCCATATGCGTAGGTGTCAGAGCTGTAAATTGAACATACATGCTATAGCATGCACTGCACATAATACACACAGTCACACCTCAACACGATCATTTGACCAACTTAGGACAGCTTTGTCTGTTCACCAGTGAGTATGCACTGAGTGCTGTTCTGGTCGAGTGGGTGTGGGTGAGCGAAGAAAAAGAAAAAAAAATCAAATACTGGCTTTACAAAAGATTTGGAGCGAGCAGCAGTATTTTAGTCTGCAATACACACACTGTGCTCAGCTGCTTCTCACTAAAAACAGGCAAATCCTAGATGTTGACATTATTTCTTAAGCCACAGCACTTATTTTAGGGGATCTCATAACAGATATTCTATGAGATTCCATCGCTCTGTGTCCACACATGGGCAGAAAACATACATTGCACATCTCTGGTAAACCAATTTAAGCTAACCTTCTAACCCTAACCCTTTAGGTTTTCCCACTAGT